AAAACCCGAGCAGATCGACTGTGCTCTGCCACTAAGTTTACTAATTAAGTAATATAATTTTTCAGCGTCCGATAACGATGGGTTGTTGTGTATATTGTTTTGAAAACTACTGAGAAGAAGGGCCACGTCTTAATATCACCATTGAATACCGGAATATCTACTGGCGGTAACCTAATTGAGTCACGAGGGCGTACCTGTATTTCCGGCTTTGCTTCGCTTTGAGATTGTAGGAGTTTTGCAGTTCTTTTTTACGCGACAGAACATATCTTCGAATGCTAGCAGCGGTTGGTAGTTCACTATGTATTTCGGGTCGATTTGTAATTCCAAATGATTAATTTGGTCTAATATTCTTTCGTAATCTATCCGCAAAGTATCTATCGTTTCGATTTCATTCAAAAAGGCTTCCCGCACTGCCTCTATATTAATGTTCTTTATATAATCACTTATATTCTGCACACGCGAAAAGAGTATGTCCCTCTTGGCATAAAGCGTTTTAATTTTGATTTCACTTCCACTAACTGCCATTTTTAAATTATTATAAAAAGTTATATTAATCACAATTAATCTCACACGCATAAACGACGTAGGATGAACACTCGGCGTGCCGTATTACGTAATTAGATCGAACACCCGTTGCGGTCGAGTCTACGCGTCGTTTGCTAAACCTAATAATTTTATCAAAATTGTGGGTAAGCGTATCAAACGGTTGCTATCACACCGTTTCAATTGTTTAATAAGCTTTAAATTTAACCAAATACGAGTGCTATTAAATGAATAATTCTGTTTGCGAGTACCAAATCAAATTTTTAATTTAAACGAACACTATTTAAGTCTATTCCATAAATTAGAGTGCGTTATCTAAACAATTAATTTAATAATTCTACCAGAAAATGGTTGGATAACCACTAAACACCAATCCAGATCCGGCTCGAAGGACCATAAAATGGTGGAGCCACGTGTTTAAGGCTGCCGAAAATCTAGTTCCCCGGTCAAACCTCAAACCTATTACGCGAGATATTAACTAAAGTGGACTGTATTTGCGATTGCTTCTACGCTTACGTAAAAGCGACTACTATAGCATGCGGTACAATGCACTCGCTCTTCCCTAAACTAAAACTATTACTTGCCAAATCGATGAAAGGAATCCTGCCTGATGAGGAGAACACAGAATTGGAACGGTTAAACAATTATTAAATATTAATCAGGCAGTAAATCAAGGAATATTGACTCACCGGGGTTCTTCTATCCTTTAGATCACTATAGCGACTTCTGGAACACTCCGGAGAGAGGCGGTGCGCGACGATATCTCACACGAGGTGAGGCGGGTTCCTGGAGCTCGACTGCTTCCAGGCCAAAGCGGTTTCCACTAGTGAGGTGTTTCCAAACGAGCGCGCGGGAAGAGAGAAGAGTTGTAGTTCAAAGACGGCTGCGGCGGGAAGAAGAGAGCGCGCGTCGGTCGCGCGTGTCTTATATATCCTCGGCTCCGGTGATTGCGCGATGTTCTAGAATCGTCTTCTTTCCCCTCCCCCCCCCTCACCCCGATGTGTCGATAGGAGGGTACGAATGATATCGTTTAGGAAGGGAATAATGATTCAGCAAGTTCCTACCGTCAAAAATAAAAATGCGAATGGTTTTCCGCGCAACCAATATATATATATATATATATATATATATATATATATATATATATATATATATATATATATATATATATGTGTGTGTTCATCAATGTTCATCAAGCATCAAGCATATAGATAGTATTGTTGACATTCGGATATTAGTCAAGATTTAATCTCCTTGCAGAATAAATTTTTGCTCAATTTTTAACAGCGTCACTACCTGTTCCGCTCTTGCTTACCTTTGGTTTTATCCGAGATTTTTGTGTTTTATTTTTTTCTTAATATTTCAGATATTTTCTTTTTTATTTGAAACTAAGATAAACAACTATAATACTTAGGTTGCTAATGCAAAAAAAATATTTTGTACAGTGTCATATTCTAAAGTACCTATTTAAAACATTTGTAGTAACTTAAAAAAAGAGTCAGTTTTTTATTTTTCCTGGGCAGTCATCAATTATTTCACTTCCTTGGTTAATTCAACATTAAACGGGCGCTTAACGTTGAATTTTGGGACACGTGTCATGTTACACGTGTTGTACAAATAAATGGCTTTTTAATTGTTTCATATTTTCAACATTTTCCAACAAAGCAAATTGGTGCGCGATTGAAGCGCAATAAATTACGTTAACTGACAAGTAATCAATAGTAAAAGGGAAGTTTTATAATCAAAACAGGCAAAAGGTAAATAATAACTAAATTAAATTAATTGACAATGATACTACATAATATTATAAGCAACGGGAAACATAATCAATTAATAGTTCAGTCCATTGCCAAACATAGGCCTTTACAAAAAATAGGCTGATGAGCGTATAAGATAAGATAAGGTGTACTTATACTAATAATACTTCTGTCCATCACCGGTTTGTGGAATTCAGTTTTAGCTATTTTGGGATAGACTTTAAATCATAATTTACTGCAGTATATACACCTAACGAAAATGTAAGGACCTTTTGCATATTTAACTATACCGCCCAATGGTGAGATGGTTATTACCACAATTTTATACAACCATACCCACTGGACAAAATAATGGATTCTATTACATAGCTACCCTTTTACCTGCAGCACATACCTACATAGTAATATATTTTATAACTTACTCAGTGATTAGTTCAAACCTATCAGTTCCTTCTTTCCATCCTTATCGCTTTAATAGTGTGGATTCGATTAAATACCATGTCATACTAGACTAACAAACTCTGGAATAATTATAATATTTTGCTCTAAGAACCTAAGTGTTAAACGAGAAAAAAGTGTGCTGTGTAGTTCGATTATATTTCATGTTAGTAATATCGCACCTTTAGGACGAAACGACGTAACTCAAAATAGCAACTTTTTGGGAAAAGGCAACACAAGTTTTAAGATTTTGACACATCTGCGTTCTTTCGTCTATTATTTCGTGATTATTTACGTCAGTAAGTATGTTTTTGCAACAAATTATAAAAATATTAATTAACTATTATTGTGCCATGAACAAACGTAATTATTAAAAGGAATAGTATAGAAAAAAAAGTATTTTGTTTTATCCGTCATTTTTGGACCGAGAAAAAGTTTCAAGTTTGATGGTTTAGGAGATGCGTCTTTTATCGGCCGAAAATAATTTCTTATAAGTGACAGTTTAAGAGCTACGCCTGTTTTGTTTTTATAACTTTTTGTAATTATTTTACGTTTTCCGACTTAGGTCTATTATTTTCTTAATAAATTACTAATTATGGGATACCAAAATGGAAAATGCGTCAATGGGGGAGAAAAAAAAAACCAAAGAAATAGGAGTTTTTTTTATTAATGGCAATGTTTGAATTGAAAAAATTAAACGATAATGGTCGTTATAATTATGCTAACATAATCCTTTAGGAGTAACGTTACATTAAATCAAAATCAACACTTATAACAACTAACAGAGATCTTAGTTTGTTAGTAACTCTTCTTCGTACCTAAACACACATCTGACATAAAAAAAAGATAAATCGACACAATTAAACAGAGTTCTTTTTCCATTAGTATCTTTAAACATTTTTCTGTCTTTATAAATCAATAACATACAACTCTTAAAAATAAACCAATATCTTTGTTTATTAGGAACTTCCTTTAGTAATCGTGTCTTTAGTAACGTACGTAAACTCAAATCAAAGCAACTATGCAACAAAAAAGTAAGTTCTACAATAATCTAATAGAATATTTAAAGACAACAAAATCACCAGAAACCATTCAAACAAAATTTTCGTTCACTAGGAACTGTCTATCCTACATCAGTCAATTATCTTGATCATCTATTAACGATATAATAATCTATATAAAAACCGGGTATTAAATTTTTCCGCAGCAATTCGCTTAACCCTTTCCTTTTGTTGTCGCTTAATTTTATTTTATTTGTGTATGCTTTCGGTATTGAGACATCGTCATGGTTAGGCATTCGTTTTCGTTTGTTTCTCATGTTCACACGCTTAAAATTATCTTGCGTGTAAGATGTTTTTGTGAAAAAACATAAAATGTTCGGCTTTCAAGAATCTTAAAATCTTTACATCGTTCCAAGACACCTGGTTACGCTCATCGTCTTCATTAAAATTATAACCCCACTGATCTTGTAGGGATTCTAAATCAATGAAAAAGTCATAACTTAAATCCAGGACCGTAAAAGGCTTTCCAGACTTCTTGGCACCTTTTATCAGGGCAACATACTGATGAGAAGTGTAAATTGGTCCAGATATAAGGTTTTTTTTCACTTCCTTTTCAATTAGGCTGTGTACGTTGTCACCCTCGTTCTACGTGTGTCCGCGAATAAGAAATTTGTGAGTTATACTCATTATATTTGGAAAGTTGGACACAATATACGAGTATAGACATGCAATAAACCTGTTTTTATTTTGCCCACAGCAATTATCTGAATAGAAAATTATATTCAGTGGTTTATCAGGATATTTCTCACCGACATTTTTAAATACTCAAATATGCACGACCCTATTTCGTTTGCCCCCTTGTTCCTTGTTTTTCATCCCAAAAGTAATTATAAACATCTCCATATGCGCCTACAGTTTCTTCTTCAATTTTATCTTCTCCCCCTGGTTCCCTTCAATTTCCTGTTCTTTATTTTTTTTCTTGTCGGATTTCTGAGCCAGCTCAGCCATAGTAAAATTTAGGCAGTTGAAATTTGATATATAATAAAAATAACTCGAGTCTCCTAAAGGGCATTGCATGACTGCTTGCAAATCATATACGGTACATAATATATTTCCTTCACCAATGTTTCTGCGGTCGTTCTTCTTTTCAAGGCGACAAAGGTCTTTCTCTTTTAAATGGGTATCGAATTTTTCCTTCAGCTTTGCTTTGTGATCTACAGATGCCATTTAGTACTCCAAACACAGATCATATCTATCTTTTTTAGGCTGAAAGAATCCCAAAGTAAAGCCAGTAGTCTACTTTGGGTTTATTTGGATCTCTTGCTTCTGAGAAGTCTCTCCAAAGATCTTTTACGGTCCTGCCTCCTTCAATGAACTCTATAGATGTGGAAGCCCTTAAGTAGTGTGATTCTACCCTTGGGATTGAATTTATATGGTTTTCAATGTCTTTTATAATGGTATCGTCAATTATCTTTCTATTAGTGTGTTTTCCTCTGCGATCTTCAGCTATGAATCCGTTTTCATTGTTTTTTTCTTTTGTAGTTCTTATCTGTCTTTCTGTTATATCTAAAGTGAAGTAAAGTGAAGTAAAACGCACTATTTGGTGCTTTCGGCTTTTCAGCATAGGTGTATTTATATTTAGGCCTGACTTCCATCATGCAAAAAACGGATAAAGGATCTTTTAAGCTCCATGCTTGCAAGGTTCCAATACGATTCAAAAATCTCAGATCTTTGGGCTTCACTAATTTGGTTAGGACATTTTAATCGACATGGAGCGCATGGGTTTTTTATACAACGGGCTGGAACTTCTTTTCTAGATTTCGATAGGGAAATGTAAGATTTTCCAGTGTTGCGCAATGCCTTAGTAATATTTTGCTTCCATGATGCGGGGTTACGCTGCCTTTTTTCTTGATTTTCTTTGAGTCGTGTTCGGTTCGTTTGCGTTACTTGTCTCAGGTTGTTGTATCTCATGTTGGGGTGTTTCAGGTTGTGAAGTTGAGTCTGTCGAGGAAGAGGACAAGCTTCTAAGACGCGTTGAAATTTCGTTGGGGTCTTGATATGTAGGGTCATTATCACTTAAATCAGGATCACTTTCAGGAGCATTAATAGGTGATACACAATAATTAGATTTTAAAATAGCTCTACCACTAAGACTTCTTGTAGCTAATTGGCTGGTACTCGCACCATCCGCATTAATATGACAGGTAATCACGTTGGAGTCACATTTTGTGCGTTGCTCGAAGAGCATGGACTAGAATTTGAGGATCTGGAACTTGAGGAGCTGGAACTTGATGAACTTGAATGAGATGAACTTGAACTATTACAAGATGAAGAAGATACTCTTTTTTCTTGAATAGGTCCCCTGGTGAGTATGTCTCGATTAAAAATTGACTCATTATCTGAAGTGTCAGTCCGCTGCTGAAAAAAGAACCAAAATGTCACGTCAGTTATTATTATAGATTATATTTTATAGGCAGGGTTTAGAGACATTTCTCACTTACCGTTTTTATATATTAACTTAGGTTAAAAATGTCGTTGGTCGTACACTGTGGGGAGTTTTCGATAAACGATGAGGATTTTGAAGATAAGTTCTCTATAGTATCACTGCACACTGAAGATTTCTGAAATCATAAAACAAACTATAGTTTTCTTTTCTTTATAAGATGGTTTTTCTATAATGAAAATTGATATAATATAATTAGTTACAAGTTTACTCTCATAATTGACAGCAATATTGCCGCTGTTTGTCATTTTAATTAGTGATTCTTCAGTAACTGCAGAATTCGGATTCATGTTCTCTTTTTGGTTTTTTCATTCTATCAGCCGATTCCCGGCGGAAGATAAAATGTTAATAAAAATATCAGTATAAACTTACACACACTTTAACTATAGCTAAATATGTGAGAAGTTAGACTAAAGTAGGTACGGTCAACTGCAGTACATTAGTGGTAACACTTACACTTATTGTAATGGATTATAGGCACTTTCAACGTCAAACTCGTCTGCACCAAACTAAACAAAAATTATTGCTTACTAAGTCAATCTGATTAATATTAATAAGAAAATTGTTAATGTCAGGCATTTTTTTTTTTGGTAAATTGTCAATCTCTGTGGAATTCAGAGCCAAATTCTCTTAATTCATTGTCTGCCTGTTCCTGACGAAAGATAAACACCGCAATGGTTAAAAAAAACCAATATGAAATTCACAATAAAAAGTGCACAGTATAAAATGTATTAAAGAATGTAGTTCATACCTCGTTTCGTTCATTTGCTTTGTAATTTTTAACATTTTTTAATGCATTATCCATTATAATGTCCGTCCTCCTTTTCATTTTTTTATCTTTTTAAGTAACTTTTCTTTAAAAAACTTGCTGGCTCCTTATTTGTGTAGTGACACATTAACCAATGCAACCTCCCTTTTAATCTAGAAATAAATAAATAAATGGCATAATAATCAATGAGTCACAAACAATAGTACTATGATAAATAAAAAAACGACTTTATTTCTAATAAGTCAAATTTAGTTCCAAAACATTCATCGTTATTTATTATTAACACGACACAAACTTAAATCCATCATTGGAATTCTATGTGTCTTTAATAATAAAATGCCACTAACCCGATTAAGTCACTAATATTATTGATAGAATCAGGCGTTACTTTGCGGAAATCCATTATAATAAAAAATAATAATATAAATTTCTTTCCAACTTTCCGCTAAACGTATAAAATGATGTGTCTTACCTGGATTAAGCGCACCTCCCGCCCTCTTAATTGCATACACTAACTCCGTCACCACAGACCAAGCACCACTACTCTCAACACCACTATTCCAGGCAAGACACACCATCGACGATAATACGACACGTGTTTCGCCTCTACACGAGGCATCCTCAGGTAATATAGACTCTACGGCGGCTGACCGCTAATTAGCTATTAGCGGTCAGCCGCCGTAGAGTCTATATTTTGCTAATTAGCTAGCTAATTAGCTATTAGCGGTCAGCCGCCGTAGAGTCTATATTACCTGAGGATGCCTCGTGTAGAGGCGAAACACGTGTCGTATTATCGTCGATGGTGTGTCTTGCCTGGAATAGTGGTGTTGAGAGTAGTGGTGCTCGGTCTAGTGGTGACGGAGTTAGTGTATGCAATTAAGGGAGGGCGGGAGGTGCGCTTCAATCCAGGTAAGACACATCATTTTATATGTTTAGCGGAAAGTTGCAAAGAAATCTATATTATTATTTTTATCACTAATATTACCATAGAAATCGGAAGAAAACAATCGAAAGGCTAAATTCGTCGTTTCCATACTAAAAATCGAAAGAGAACTTACCATAAAACGACGTAATAGGCTTTGGGTCACTATCTGGCTGTCTGCGCGACGTCCTGCACTTAGCGATGCGAACACAACACTGACTACGTCCTTTCCCCCAACTCAGGCCCGCATGTCGCCGCGTAAGAAAGAGACCGTTATAATAGTTTTGTCCTGTTCCCGCTCGAATATGGCTTTGTTTGAACTATTGTTAGATTGAGAATTTCGTTTTGAGTCATTATATGACGATAACTTAATTTTCGTTTTTTTTTTTTTGAATTGTGTCGTTTTCGTCCTAAAGGTGCGATATATTAAAAAGTATTTTAGTAACAATGATAATTGAAATTGTGAAATTCGATACCAGAAGAGAAGTGCGGTAACGTTCCACAAGTAAGAGGCTTTGCAGTTTATATTAAAAAAATGTAAACTACTTGATAATATAGGCTCTTAAGATCTGTCACTTATTTATCATCATCATCATCATTATTACAGCCCTTCACAAGTCCACTGCTGAACATAGGCCTCCCCCAAGTAATGCCACAAAGCACGGTCCTGAGCCACCTGCATCCATCGACTTCCTGCATGTCTTACCAGGTCGTCACTCCATCTAGTGGGGGGTCGCCCTACACTACGCCTACCGGTACGAGGCTGCCACTCGAGAACCTTTCTTCCCAATCGGTTATCGGTTCTTTGAGCTATATGGCCGACCCATTGCCACTTCAGCTTACTAATCCGTTAGGCTATGTCGGTCACTCTGGTTTTACTGCGGATATCCTCATTTCTGAGTCTATCATGCAGTGAAACTCCGAGCATAGCCCTCTCCATAGCTCGCTGAGCGACCTTGAGCGATCCTCATACGGCCAGCGGGGAAGGACCACGTCTCAGATCCGTAAGTCATCACTGGCAACACGCACTGGTTATACACTTTAGTTTTCAGAGATTGACGACACATCTTCTCGTCAGGTATACCACATGACGAGAAGATGTGTCGTAATTTCCCGAACGCTGCCCAGCCGAGTTGAACATAAACTTATTTATAACACTTATTAATTATAATAAATGTAATTACTGACGTGTTTGGCTTTAAATTACCTGGTTTTATTTGGCTAAAATTATTTTTGATACACAATAAATTTAAATATGGTTGACGAGTTCCTAATCAATAATACTTATCGATGTTTTTTTCTACATATATCTGTTTACAACAATGAAAGTCACTGACAACAGATAATTATCAAATATTTTTTAATTTACAGATTTTCACTTGGCTAAAAGCATAAAACCTGTGAATTTTTGTTGGAAACTTGTGTATTGTTTATATTTTTAGTTTGTTAAATTCTAATCGTAACTATAGATATTGTTGAAACAGGTATAATATTTTGGCAGCTTATTGGTTTTTGTTATTACGAGACCTAAATGAATGGTTAATTATAAATTATTTACAATTGTAATTTTTTATCTTGTAAACTCAGTCTACCTATTTCAGTTTTTCCTACTCAATGGACCTTCTAAAATCTCAATATATACATCAATACATCCCAATGGTGAAACCCGTAATAAAACCCGTTCTCTAGTTGCTAAGAAAAACGTTGATAGAATAACGCAGCGTCAATTTTTGTTTTATATGAGGCATAAAGCTTAGAAAGACATAAGTATTCATTGATTCATTTATTTATTGTATGGAACTATTTTAAAATTATACATAAATAGAAGTAAGAAGAAGTTTTATATTAAGTTGTTGTGTTGCATATTGTGATAATTGTTAATAAATAAAATCTCTGAAGAAAAAAGTAAACGTAGCCCAAAAGTACAAGGAATTATGAACACACAACTATAAGATATTAGAGCAGAATACAAAAATAGCTGTTAAAATGTAGCGGCTGCCATTAAAATAATCTGGAATTACTGGTAAATTACATCAATTTTGGCGGTTTAGCGATTTACTCTCGGATAGTACTCTAGAATTAAAGTAGTTAGTGATTTTATTCTTAGTTTAAGACAAATGTTTGTTCGAATTCGTCCTTAGTAGAGTAAGTTACAAATATTGTATTAAAATAAAAGATAAAGAGGTGGCCTTTATACGCGACACTACTGGATATGTCTCACTGTTGGAGTGTGTAAAATGGAAATTGTTTAATTTTCACAAACATAAAGTGACATGAAACATCTGACGATGTTTTTCAGCACCGCCGCATTATAAATCAGCTCTAAAAATTGAAACTGCTTTGGTGCTATTGGAGCGAGTTCGTAACTCGGTGTTCTTGCACGCTCTGAAATTTTAAAACAAACACTTATCCTCAAAGCTAACACACGTCTCCAGTCTAAAATAATACAGGTTAGCGGTTTTATATCCATTCCCATCCATTTATCTATTAATATAATTTTTATATTTTCTTATTATAATTCGAAATTCACTAGACTGCTACCTACTTCCGTTACTGTCTACTACTACCATTTTTCTTGGAATTAAATTAGATGCTAATACTAGCAGGCTAAGTTCTGAAGCGTATATGCTAAAACTAGCAGGCTAAGTTCTGAAGCGTATGCTGTAATATAATAAAAATTACCAGTGTTGAAAAATTGGACTTGTTTATTTTAGCTATTTCCATAGCATAATGTCGTACAGTATTTTGATATGGGGACAGGTGACTAACTCTGAAATTATATTTGATTGGCAGAAAAGGAACATAAGAGCAATATATGATTTAAAACCTCGAAGGAGTCTCTAAGGCAAAAATTTCAAAAAATCTAAACCAAAAAAAATTAAAAAATCTTTATTCTCAAACCAATACTTAAAATTAAATTCATTATTGGAACACTCCTTTTAAGTTCGGAAACTTGTGTTAGGAGGCTCCGCTCTTCCCGTCCTTTGTTTATATAAATTAGTGTTTAGAACTTGGGTAACACATAGATTTTTGACTTACAGTTAAACTTATGTA